ACCCTTACCCCTAACCACGACCCTAACCCCCTACCCCTAGACCTTACCACCCCACCCCCGACCATACCCCTTACCCCACCCCAACCTCTATGAGTAGGTATGGGTGGGTATGAAAGGTTGTAGGGGAGTATGGCCGTATGGGTAGAGTGTAAGATCGTGGTAAGGGTAGGGGTAAAGGTCAAAGGTTTGGAATTGGGTATAGGGTGTAGGGTGGGGGTACGAGGTATAGGGGCGGGGTAGGGGTAGTGGGTTAGGGGTATGAGTACACGTACGAGGTGATCGACCCCACATATTATATTATATATGTGTGTTTATGAATGTTTGTGTGTCTATATATGTATAGAATTATTTTGGACATTTTAATGTTAAACAGTGTTTTTAAACCTTTTGAAGTAAACATGATCTTACAACATTGCTTATTTCATGCGCCGTTTATTAACGCGGGTCTTAATAAGCACCATTTAGTAACCCGTGAAGTAAACGTGTCCTCAGTCTTCTGGATGATCACAAAACTGGGTGAAAAAATTGATGAACATGTTTTCAGATTTGAAAATGGAAAAATAAAAATAGAAACAGAAAATTGTAGATAGAAAAACTGAAAAATAAAAATAGAAAACTAGAGAACAAAAAATAGAAGTAGAAAACAGGAAAATATCTCTATTACTAAACAGGCCCTAACATTTTTAGTCCATCAAATAATAACGATATTGAAATTAATTCTCGTGTTCCCAAGTGTGAAATGTAAGACTTCAAATATTGAAATTAATCCTCGTGTTTCCAAGTGTGAAATGTAAGACTTCAATTATCAGAATTGATGTAAATGTTGTCATTGCTCACATTGTACATTCACCTCTCAAATAACCATATTTACAGTAATTTGAACAATTGAGGAATGATATTTACAAATTTGGGAATACGAGAATACGTTTTTGTAGGTTTTAAAGAACTACATAATAAAAAGTTTTAATTTTTTAAGGAAAAATAAGTTTAAATAATACTCCGTACAAACTATTGAACCAATTATAATACAAACTTCGAAAATGACTTTTAATAATACCAACTATTTGAATGTCAAACAAAAATGATATAGTGCCATTTTTTGACAAATAATCCGGTCACTTAAGACATCAAAAGCTAATGACAACTCATCAAATAAATGATACTTGGAAATATATTCACAAATTAGATATTTTCATACAAGTTTTTGATGAGTTAAATGGTTGAATTTTTAGTAAAAAAATGCTCTATATCACTTTTAGTCTATATTTATATAGTTGGTATTATTAAAACTTATTTTTAAAGTACGTATTATTCTTGGTTCACGGAAGATAGTTTGTACTCCATTATTTAAAGTTATTTTCCCAATTTTTAAAGTATTTTTTCTATGAACTACATAAATAAGACTTTTAAAATGATTATCTAGTCTTGGGAAAAGGTGGCAAAATACAATTAGACTCACGAATTAATATATTACCTCCATTCCAGTAGACTTTGCTAAGTTCAAAAATAAGAATAGTAAAAACTGTGTGATTGAAATTTGCGCAGTGAAAAAAGAATCGAGTAGAACCACAAATTAGAGCATCTTCAATGCTATAATGTCCACGGTGCATATGTGACATGAGTGATAGCCACAAAATTATTAGCAAATAAATTATTTCTCTCCTTATTTGAATGATTTTATACAATTTTGGTAAGTTTTTCCCTGCAATGTCAACAACAATATCAACATTAGACGGTCTCCTTGACATTGTGGAGAAAAACTTACCAAAACTGTATAAAATCATTCAAATAAGGAGAGAAATAATTTATTTACTAATATTTATGTGGTCATCTCTCATGCCACGTGTGTACCGTGCACATTGTACCTTTGAAGATGCTCTTAGTTGCTTTAATAGGAAAAAATTTTGAACAACTAAAAAGAGAAAGTTGGCAAAGTCCAATAAGACGGGGAGAGTACTGCTTATTAATCAGGAAATTACAAATTGCGCCAAATTTTTTGTTCTATTAAAAATTTGTGGAATAGAGAATGTAAAGTTGGCCCATTAGTGTCACAAAGCTTTTGATATTCAATTGTGAGGTGCGTTTGATAGAAGTAATATGTGATCTAAAAGCATTATTGAATATATTATCTACACAGTACACATTCATTGCTTTGGAGTTGAATGACCAAAAGCCTTTGGTATACACACAACTGACACAAGTGAGTATGGCGGCGGCTAAGAGAAACAGAACTGATCTATGACTACACGTCTTCGAGCCACCACTATCTTTTGTATTTGGAAAGTCCTTGCATGAGAAAAGGTTCTTTCCAATTCAAAGTGTATACCACAAAACTAGGTGATGAAGTTGAATATATGTATGGGTACGTATAAATTGTGCTTATTTTGCAAACATTTGATTCATTTTTATATTATTTGTATTAAATACTACCTATTATTTTGCAATAAAACACCTATTTGCATATCAACACTCAAACTACCACATTCAAAATAAGTTTGATTTTATTATAAAAATGTCACATACATCAATAATCTTAGATCAACTCATCGGATGAATAAGATGAGTTTGTATGAAGTATTGAAATTTCATTCTAAAAGGTCAATCTAATAAGAGGATTAATCCAGATCTTAATATAACACTTAATTCCTACCCAAGTATCCGGTATAAGAATTCAACATTGTACTTTGTTAATTAGGAGATGCTTTTATTTTATCCTTTTATCACTGTATGTATTATAAAAATTTAGGGCCTGTTTACTAACAGATATATTTTCCAGAAAACTGGAAAACTGGAAAACAGAAAACAGGAAACGTGTTTACCAAAGAAATTCCTCGAAAACTGGAGAAAGGAAAAAAGAAAAACGCGTTTACAAAATCGTTTTCCAAAACGGAAAAAATGAAACATGTCTATCTTTTTCTTAATGATTTGGAGAAGTGACTTTTACTAGTTTTCCAAATTTGGAAAACGCAGATGCTACAGTGTCTTTGCAATGAATTTGTATACTTACACCTAGTGGTAGGTCCGGTCCCGCTCCGATGTCGATTCCATTCCGGTACCTCCATCCTCTTACCTTACCCCTTACCCCTACCCTACCCACCCAACCCCCTCCCCGCGCACCCATTTTCCCCTATAATGACCTTACCCCACCCCCCACCACATGCCCCGACCTCGGCCCCACCCCGATCCACCCTACCCTACCGCTACCCCCCTACCACCTTGACCCCACCTCGATCCACCCTACCCTACCGCCACCCCCCTACCACCTCGACCCCACCCCGAACCACCCTACCCTACCCCCACCCCTCGTATATTACCACTTACCCATACCTTACCCCTTACCACATGCCTCCTACCTCGGCCCCACCCCACCGCCATCCTACCCGCACCCTCGTACCGCCATCCTACCTCCACCCCTACCCTACCCTACCTCGGCCCCACCCAGATCCCGAATCCACCCTACCGCCATCCTATCCCAACTCCCTACCCTACCCCTACCTTACCCCAACCCCAAACCCTATCCACTACCCCCACCCCTTACCGCCATCCTACCCCCCACCGCCATCCTACCCCCACCCTACCCCGGCTACCCCTAGACCTTACCACCCCACCCCGACCATACCCCTTACCCCACCCCCACCCATAACTTCCCTACCCCGACCCCTACGAGTAGGTATGGGTGGATATGAAGGGTTGTGGTGGAGTATGGGTAGAGTGTAAGATCGTGGTAAGGGTAGAGGTAGGGGTCAAGGGTGTGGAATTGGAGAACTGTGTGAAAAAATTGATGAACATGTTTTCAAATTTGAAAATGGAAAACTAAAAAATAGAAACAGAAAATTGGAGATAGAAAAACTGAAAAATAAAAATAGAAAATTGGAGAACGAAAAAAAGAAGTAGAAAACAGGAAAATATCTTTGTTAGTAAACAGGCCCTTACTATCTTTAAAAATAGCTCATGTTTTAAGTTTTGACTTCCAAAGTTTTAAGTTTTGACTTTTGATCCACAATATAGAGTTTCAAACTTCAATATTTCTAACATAACATTTCTGGCTCCGTCAATGCCCCTTCTCAAACAAATTCGAAGAGAACATGACAATACTTAAGACTCACTAATGCTTTTGTTTCTTAATCATAAAAAAATGTTTTTGTTTCGTAAATCTTTTTTAGACATTCATTATTATAGTCAACCCAACAACTAATTGACAATACTTGCTATTTTCACTTTCGTGTGCTCCATGATTATGTTCATAATGTCTTTCTCAATGGAGATATGAGTCAGAAAGCGTACTTATGCTCCCTCCCTCAAATTATTTGCCATATTAGCAATTCTTGTACGTTCAATCAAAATAATCGATGTTTTAAGAATTGAATGTATATTTTGTACAAATCACTCAAATTTGCTTTTGTTCACTTTTCAACGTATTAAATGATTTTATGTCTTGAATACAAAAAATGCATGGTATGCTGAGCTTGTATATCTGGATAGAAAAATCATGTTGTTGTGCTCTTTAAAAGTGCTTTCCTAAAAATTGGGACAAAGAGAGTATGAAACAATCATAAGGCTACCAATTGACCAACCAAACTTATTATCCATCGTAGGCATTTAACTATGAAGCACGGAACGTCGGAAACTCTCGGGAAAGAATATTTAGCTTTAATATAATTCACCCCGCTAATTTACCCAAGGAAGAGTTTCATTTAGCCCATACGTGGATCCTCCCCATGACAAAGTATATATAGTCGAACCAATTGAGACCCGTATGGAGGAAAACGGTGCGGGATAACTAGAAAATGGCTCAGCTGAAATAAACCGGGGTTGTTCAACCGGTTTTGAACGCACTGAGGATGTTTTTACTTGGACTGAAATTTTCTGGTCTGGTCTGGTCCGAACTAGTCTGGTAAATGTCTGGTCTGGTCTAGTCTAGTCTGGGACTGAAAACACTTTAAAAACATCCTAACAAAAAAAACTCTAATCTTTTATCACTAGTTTGGATCACTCCGGAATTGAAAGTCATTGGAAGTTTGTTTGGCCATTTCATGAAAAAAATATCAACAATGACATTACCAAAACCAACACATGCTACTGTATCTGCAGCTTTGATGATGGGAGATCATCTGAAGAATTTAATGTTTGTGCAATTCTGGAAAAGAAAACTACTCTGGTTTGTCAATCATATGGAAGCAATTCTGGCAACAAAACGCCATTTTGATCATAGTTAAGCCTTCCAGAGATGCTGAGAGGCTTACACCTGTCTCCCATAAGGATTCTCTTCTTGCAAAGTTCAATCCCTTCTTCCTTTTCTTCTTCTTCATCTGCCTCCTCTGGACTTCTGATGCTCTGAATCTGTGTGTAATAGCCTCTGTTTCTTCTTTGGGCTGCCAATCCTGCCATACCCATACAACTTGTTCCAATTCCTCCAGTAATCCTCCACTTCCTGAAGCTAAACCTTAGCCTCTTCTTCCATCCGAGCAGCCCAGAGAATCTGAAGCAGAAGATGGGTTCTTTTGCTGATGACCCACCACCATTCTTCCCTGTTCTTGAGAGGAACAAGTAATGGGTTGACTTATTTGACTTTTCTAAACTCTCTCTGCATTGAATATCTGCTTTTGTTCTGTTTTCTCCTTTGAACTCCAGGATGTTCTTGATTGACTTTGACTTTCCCAGTTTTTCTTCATCTGCCGCCTGGTTTCTGCTGAAAAACGTGCTGCAGAAAACCGACCCAGTCTTCACAGGCACAAGAAGATTCCCACCGGATTCCGACCATGATTTCTTCCTCTCCGCTGCATCATTGGAACCGTGGCGGCTGCGCCGCCGCCGCTTTCTTCCATTGACAACCTTAACAAGCAACCTCGGCGTCCTCAGTCTGAATCCAATGATCTGTGGGGAGTGGAGTAGCATAAAGGTGCGATCTTTCGCGTTGATCACCATTTTCTTTTCATGGGGAGAAGTTTCCGTTTCCTGGATTCCTAGCATTTTCATGTTCAAAAACGAAAAAGGAAAAGAAAAGAGAAGAAAAAGAAAACCGGTTTTGGATTGTGAGAGATGGATGATTGGGCAGTTTTGTGAGGAATTGCCGAATATAATTGAACGAGGGAAACGTGGGTATGGAGATATGCCCCTACTCTTGTGGACCTTCTATGTTGCGTTTTCATCAATGAAAATTATAATGCACTTGTCGTGAAATGAAGAAGATGAAGACCAAATAAAGAGATAGATATATAGATAATAAACTCTCTAAATTACTTCTTCTTTATCTTTAAAATTTCTGAGTATCTGAATTTCTGAATGAATTTACAAGGCTTCACCAAGCTCCTATTTATAGTGGTTGAGCTTGATGATTAGTCATCTAAAGGATGACTCTACAAATTTGGTGGCAATAACAAATTGAGCCATCTGTTTTAAGTTGGTTACAAGGATTGATGCTAGATTAGTGTCCTGATTACAAGGATGAATAATTCACACCTGTAATTCCCATGATTTTACAACACTCCCCCTTGAATGTTCATCCTTGAATAGTTATTTTGTCATTATGAAAAATTAGTGTGAATGTTAAGGGGTAAAGATTATGACATATAATGTCGTTGTATTTGGATGTACTGTCTCGTTAAAAACCTTATCAGGAAAAACCCAGTGGGATAAAAACCTGATGAAGGGAAAAAGAGTGCAGTGCATTCAAATACTCCCCCTGAAATTAACATAAATTTTGAAGGCGGCGCATGCCGATTTTCTGTACAAGTTCATCGAACTTCTTCGGGGGTAAAGATTTGGTGAAGAGATCAGCTGGATTTTCACTGGATCTGATTTGCTGAATGTTGATCGTCCCTTCTTTCTCAAGGTCGTGAGTAGAGAAAAATTTTGGAGATATATGCTTCGTTCTGTCTCCTTTGATGTAGCCTTCTTTAATTTGAGCTATGCACGCAGTGTTGTCTTCGTAGATCACAGTAGGGTAAACAGTAATAGGCTTCATACCGCATTCATTCTGGATGTGTTGAATCATATATCGCAGCCATACACATTCTCTTCCGGTTTCATATAGTGCAATTAACTCCGAATGATTTGATGATGTAGCTGTCAATGTCTGTTTCATAGATCTCCACGAGATTGCGGTATTACCATAAGTAAATACGTACCCGGTTTGTGATTTTGCCTTTTGAGGATCTGATAAGTATCCGGCGTCTGCATATCCGATTAAAGAAGCTTTTGCATCTTTATGGTAGAATAGGCCGAGATCAACTGTACCACGGAGATAACGGAATATGTGCTTGATCCCGTTCCAATGACGTCTTGTTGGGCATGAACTGTACCTAGCTAATAAATTTACAGAAAATGCAATATCTGGTCTAGTATTATTAGCTAAATACATTAAAGCTCCAATAGCACTCAGATATGGTACTTCGGGACCGAGTATTTCTTCGTCGTCTTCTCGGGGACGGAATGGATCATCGTGTATGTTGAGAGATCGAATGACCATTGGTGAAGTCAAAGGATGAGCTTTGTCCATATAGAATCTCTTCAACACTTTCTCGGTGTAATTGGATTGGTGGATGAAAATTCCATTCTTCAAATGCTCAATTTGAAGCCCGAGACAAAATTTGGTTCTCCCGAGATCTTTCATTTCAAATTCTTTCATAAGATATTTTGCAGTATTTTCAATTTCATCGGGAGTTCCAATAATGTTTAAGTCATCAACATATACTGCAATTATGGCGAATCCCGAATTTGATCGCCGAATGAAAACACATGGACTAATTGGATCATTCTTATATCCTTCTTTGAGAAGGTATTCACTGAGGCGATTATACCACATTCGTCCAGATTGTTTTAGTCCATACAATGACTTTTGTAATTTAATGGAAAACATGTGTTGGGCCTGCCGCGGGTCTGCGGTCAGCAATCTGCCAGCCTGCCGGTGCAATCGAACCGCGTGGCGCTTTGCCTGTTCTATAAAAGGGGGAAGGGCGTGCTACACTATCAGCGATTGCTTTTAGTGTAGCGGTAAGCGCAACGATCCACAATTGGTATCAGAGCCAGAGGTCACGGGTTCGACCCCCGGCAACAGCATGCTGCTCAGTTGTAGGCTGGCAGGTGCTGGGGGGGAGATTGTTGGGCCTGCCGCGGGTCTGCGGTCAGCAATCTGCCAGCCTGCCGGTGCAATCGAACCGCGTGGCGCTTTGCCTGTTCTATAAAAGGGGGAAGGGCGTGCTACACTATCAGCGATTGCTTTTAGTGTAGCGGTAAGCGCAACGATCCACAACATGTCTCGAGGTTTCGAGCTATAAGCTTCAGGCATTTTAAATCCACCGGGAACTTTCATATAAATGTTTGTATCGAGTGAACCATATAGATAGGCGGTCACTACATCCATTAGGCGCATTTGCAGCCTTTCAAAAACAGACATGCCAATGAGAAACCTTAATGTAGTTGCATCAACTACGGGAGAATAGGTTTCTTCATAATCAATTCCCGGCATTTGAGAAAAACCTTGGGCAACAAGTCGGGCTTTATATCTAACAATTTCATTTTTCTCATTGCGTTTACGCACAAATACCCATTTAAAACCCACAGGTTTTACGCCTTTTGGCGTAGGGACTATCGGTCCAAAAACATCACGTTTTTCAAGTGATTTTAATTCAGCCTGAATAGCTTCATTCCATTTTGGCCAATCGTGCTGATAACGTGTTGTTTCCGACATTCTTCAATTGATGTTGGCTCATTGTCATTGCTTTCATTCATAACATTTGTGGCAACGGCATAGACAAATATCTCATTAATACCAAAATCTTTTCGATTCCATTGCATTCCAGTAGAAACGTAATTTATTGAAATTTCATAATTATCAACGTTTCTATCAGTATCTGGAATATCTTCCTCATTTAAGGAAGTTGAATCATTATTTGAGATGTTTGTTTTGTCAATATCATTTTCTATGCCAATATTTTCAAATTGTTCATTTTCTTGTTCAGAAGGATGAACATCTTTGGCATCACAGATCAATTCCTGCCTTTTAGTCTTTCTTGGTTTTATGTCTTTTGATCCAAGTGGCCTGCCACGCTTTTTGCGTATAGAAGAATCATTTGCAAGAGATTTTTCAGAATTCTCCGCTGGAATTTCAATTCTGGCAGGGGCATTCATAGCAGGAATATGTGACTTTGTCACTTTCTTTGTGTCTGTGAATGCATCAGGCAACTGATTTGCAACATTTTGTAAATGGATTATCTTTTGCACCTCTTGCTCACATACATTTGATCTAAAATCAAGGTGTGATAATCCTGTTGCATTCCATGTTATTTCTTTCGTACTTGGGTCCGATTTATTAGTTTCTCCCCCTAAGGTTGGGAATACTGTCTCATTGAAATGACAGTCAGCGAACCGTGCAGTGAATAAGTCACCAGTCATCGGTTCAAGATATTTTATTATTGAGGGAGATTCAAATCCAACATAAATTCCCAACCTTCTTTGAGGACCCAATTTTGTACGATGAGGTGGAGCAATCGGAACATAAACAGCACAACCAAATATTTTTATGTGTGCTAAGTTTGGCTCTTGTCCAGTAACTAATTGCATTGGGGAATATTCATGATATGCAGTCGGTCTAAGCCGAATTAAACTTGTTGCATGCAAAATAGCATGTCCCCAAGCTGATGAAGGTAAATTACACTTCATTAATAATGGTCTAGCGATTAATTGTAATCGTTTAATCAAAGATTCAGCAAGACCATTTTGTGTATGGACATGAGCAACAGGGTGCTCCACATCAATCCCAATCGACATACAATAGTCGTTAAATGATTGGGAAGTAAATTCTCCTGCATTATCAAGTCGGATTCTCTTTATAGAATGATCCGGAAAATGAGCTCTTAATCGTATAATTTGAGCAAGGAGTTTAGCGAATGCTAAATTTCTAGTCGATAAAAGACTAACATGTGACCAACGTGTTGAAGCATCAATCAACACCATAAAATATCGAAATGGTCCACATGGCGGGGCTATTGGCCCACAAATATCTCCTTGAATCCTTTCTAAAAATGCAGGTGATTCAGTTGCAATTTTGTTCATAGAAGGCCTGATGATCATTTTGCCAAGAGAACAGGCCTTACAAGGAAAATCACTTGATAATGGAACCCTGATATTCTTTAATGGGTGTCCAAGTGAAGTCTTAATGATTTTATGCATCATTACATGACCTGGGTGACCCAAACGGTCATGCCACAACATGAATGTTTTCTGATCATCTAACTTTGCATTAGAAACCAAATTTATTTCGAATGGACTAATATGAGTGAAATATAGTCCTGAGGAATATGCTGGCATTTTTTCACAAATACATTTAGTGCCAGATTTAGTTGTCGTTAGACAAAGATATTCCTTTTGGTTTTCATTCATGGTTTCTATGTGATAACCATTTTGACGCATATCTTTAAAGCTTAATAAATTTCTTCGTGATTTGCTGGAGTATAAAGCGTCATTTATAAGTAATTTTGTCCCATTAGGGAGTATCACATATGCTTTCCCAGAGCCTTCAATGAGCTTCGCAACACCTGATATTGTATTGACTTTAGCTTCAACTAAAGTCATTTGAGAAAAATAGATTTTATTCCTCAAAATGGTGTGCGTTGTGGCGCTGTCTATCAGACATAGTTCTTTATCACTTGAGTGATCCATATCTGCAGGAAGATGATTTCTTGAAGATGCTTGAGCTAATTCGTGCTGATAACGTGTTGTGAAATGAAGAAGATGAAGACCAAATAAAGAGATAGATATATAGATAATAAACTCTCTAAATTACTTCTTCTTTATCTTTGAAATTTCTGAGTATCTGAATTTCTGAATGAATTTACAAGGCTTCACCAAGCTCCTATTTATAGTGGTTGAGCTTGATGATTAGTCATCTAAAGGATGACTCTACAAATTTGGTGGCAATAACAAATTGAGCCATCTGTTTTAAGTTGGTTACAAGGATTGATGCTAGATTAGTGTCCTGATTACAAGGATGAATAATTCACACCTGTAATTCCCATGATTTTACAACAGCACTGTCTTTTTTATTTTATTTTTTCAGTTATGACGCCAGAAATTGACCTTTATCCATTCATTACTTTATGGATCCTTGGTTTTGGATTGTTTCAATTATCATACCAGATCACATCAGATTAAATCAAACCAAACAAGACTTGAACTGTTATAAAATACATAGAAATCACACATTTTTAAGATCAGACCAGACAAAATCAAAGAATTTCATTCCAATTAAAAACATCCTTAGTTTGTACTCCATCTACCCTCCTATGTTCGATATAAGAAGAGATGATGTGCTTATTAAGAAAAATGAAGTTGTATGAATGATGTTGTGCATATATTTACAACCGTACAAGTATCATCAAGTTTGTAACTAAAAGGAGAAGTATGACATAGGGGGTGTTTGGTAAATGACGTTTCAGCCGGGAAATGACGGTTTGATCACTTTTAGCTAAATAACTGTTCGACACTAGCATTTTGGACGGAAACACTGAAATGGAAAACGCTACAAATGACTAAATAACCAAACACCTTCTGACAATCCGCCAATTTATTCCATTAGTCAAACTCGTTGACTGAATCTAACCCGCTAAATAATTCGCTAACATAATTCGCTAAAGAGGAATTCACATTTTCTCAAATTTATGATTTCTATTTTCTAGTGATCCATCAAATCATTTAAATGTCTATAATAACTTAGTGCCCCTTTGGAGGACTAGAAATTGGCTTATAAGCCTTAAAATCTACTCCCTCCGTCCCCCTAACTTTGTCCCATTTTACCTTTTCCGTCCGTCCCATTAAGTTTGTCCCATACCATATTAGGCAATATTTGGGTGGTTACAATTCATTCTTACTTTATTCACACTTTATCAATTCAACACCAACCACACAATTCTACTTTTTCTTAAAATTTGTGCCACACTCCTTTGTCCCAAACATAGTAGGACGGAGGTAGTATAAAAATAACCAAACACTAATGCAATGGGTTGATCTGGCTGTTTTTTCTGATCAGCTCAAAAAGTAAGCATATTGCTACTTTTTCAGCTGAAATTTATTTTTCTACTATTAAGCTATTAAAAGACATTTTTATCCATGTTTTTAACAAAAACACTCACCCTTGGAAGGTTGTAACCACGGCTAAATCATTTTCTGGGTGCACTTCGTACTGCATATTAGATTCAAGCCACTGCCTTTCAACAACTACGAGTATTATATACAGTACTTCATATTATAGTATCCACCCCCTTCAACATTTTTTTATTTAGTTGGTAATTGAAACACTTAGACACATTATTTCATGGTGCAATAATATTAATACCCTTTATGGTAATTACACATTCAATCAGCCACTTCAGCCAAAAATAATACCAAACACTTTCACTTCAAAACTTTCAGCCATTTAAGCCAAATCAGAAATTTCAGCTTATTGTAGCCACTACCAAACAGGCCCTTAATATACATAAACCTGATTTCCAACGGTCCCAGTCAACAAATCATTCAAAAGCAAAATATAATTTCAAGTGGGATGGTCCCATCACCCAATTATTCGAATATACGGTTTCAAGTTCATTAATTCAATACATAAACCTAAATTTAAGTAATTTAATTTAATGCTTTTAATTACATTACAAAGTTGCACTACCCCTTCGTATTTAATGATGAACTTAAATAATTAACTAATGTCATATAGATAGTATTCCGTATCATTAGTTTACTAGGTGTTTGAAAAATGGCGTTTGGGTAAAATGATTTTCAGTGTTTTCAATAAGTGAAAACGTTGTTTGGAAAATAGTTGGTCGGACCTAGCATTTTTTGACGGAACCATTGAAATAAAAACGTTACAAAAATGAGAGTTTTGGGTTAGCGTTTTGAAAAATGACGTTTTCTATTAATTATTATAACCAAACAGTTAAATTACCAAACATCTTTTAGCAACCTGCCGACTTAGCTTATTCCGTTAATTAAACCCTCTTGCTAAATCCGGTATTAACTACGCGCTAATATAATCTGTTGTCTACTAACCGATAACCCTTAAATGTCAAACACGCCTAATAATATGTGCATGTGTGAGCTAAAATATAAAACTAAACAAGTTATGACATTACTTAATTTAAAAAGATTGTTATTATAGAACAATATTCTCACGAAGTTGATAATATAGGTGAGGCGCACCCACAAAAATTGTAATACAACACGCAAAAAACATTCAAAAGCAATATCTACGCTTAAATTATTTGTAGTGCCTTCAAATATAACTTTTGTTTAAGTTGTGAAAAAAAACAAGTTTTACTTTATGTGGTGGCTCAGTGGAGTTCTTTATGTATGCATGGGAACATTAATAATGTGAAACATAAGCTTTAAAATGATTTAAGCAGGGGCAACTTAACCCCATGCATTTCAACATGCATTAAGTCGAAGACAAAATCATAAAACTTATCATTAAAAGGAATTCAAAGTAATATCCCAGACGCAAAGCTCAACCCCAAATGTCCAAATTCAAGTCCAAAAACAAGTTCAACATTACACACTTTTATTTCTTAATTTATAAAGTCCAACGCGTGATCTTTCCTAGCCTCTGGCCGAGGAAATTGAGGAAACACTATTTAATTAGCTTCAATCACACACCAATAATTCAATACTCTATATGAAAGGAAAGAAATTGCACACGACACACTAAGATTGTTTTAATTGGACAAGCTTTAGTCCGGAATTGCCAAATACACATAAAACATACAGTATCGAACCAAATCAGAACATTACGGTGATACGGTCCATTTAGAAAATCCTAAACATTGATGATCGGTCTAAATACGTGACATGTTTTGATCATCAGTATTTACAGGAATCATGTTAAGGTGGAAATCAAGACCCCACTAGATCGATTTACCTATCACTCATAAAATATAATGAAATTACTACTACGTAATATTTACTCAAATTACGATGATCATAGAACAATAAGATAACATGACCTCATGGCAAAAAGAAGCCACCATTCATTGGAAAGAATTATGAACGAGTAACATGGTGGCAATATATAAAGGAATGTGGCTACTAAATAGATATACAAACTCAATATATGAGTACCTCATACTCAATTTACTCAAGATATCAAAACAATATATAGATGAGTAGAATGATACTCCACTTAGGTCAATCCAATATTTAAGATCGGAGACAAAGATTTTCAAAAAAAAAAAAAAGATCGGAGACAAAGAGTACGTAAGACTTTATTCCCTTGTACAAACTTTCTTGAGAATATTTTCATCAAAAAACCTATTATACCCATCTTATTTCATCTAACAAATTCAAAAAATTAAGCCTTTGAAAGGAAGAGATTGTTTTAATATCAGGCTCAACCCATAATTAACACTCTAAAACACTTTCTTCTACTTATTTTCTGTTAACTCACCCTTTGAATAATTGACTCGATCTCTCAAACATTTTCTTCTACTCATTTTCCTTTAACTCACCCTTTGAATAATTGACATTTCTTAATCCTTGTCAACCTATAGTCAAGCTATTTGCCTATTTAATTTACTCAATCAAACATCTTTAAAGCAGAGCAAGAATTACTATACCTAAAACACCACTCTTGCCCAAACCTAACCAAGTCTTTAACCACGATGTCCGATTTCATGGCATCACAAGTTTGACCGCACGACTAATGGTTTCATTATTGTATAGGGACCATTCTTTAAATATGATTAAATAAAAGCAAACTTGTAATAATAAGAGTATACTAGTTCAATTTAAATTTCTAAGGTAGGAGTAATTCTTCATTTCAAAAAATATAGGAGTAACTCTTCCTATCCTACCCTTTTCCTTGTTATGCTTTAATAGGATTTTTAATAATAATAGAATATAAAAAAGTAAAATAAAAAATGTTAAAAAGAAATAAAAAATTACAGACCTCAACCACCACTCCAGCTACCTTCTGTCGGAGAAAAAATGTCAATCTGAAAAAATGTCATCATGATGACAGTTTTGAAAGCAAAATTTGATATTTTCAAGGAGTAGAAATGTCATCTTATGACATTTTCATAGAATTATGATGTTTTTATACAAGATAACATTTTTCTCGGTAATCAGATGCGATGTTGGGTGGTGGAGGATGCAGAGGCTTACATTTTAAATATATTTAGGTGTTTTTTAAGTTTTTATTTATTTATTTTTATTTTCCACGTTTTTATTACGAATTGATAAATATATTTCCATTTTTTATAAAACTATTATTTTTTATTAATAAAATAAGTCTTTTTTTAATAAATTTAATAAAAATAAGTCTTATGAATAAGAATATATAAAGGGGTAAACTAGGAAGATGAAACATATATAACTTATATTTTGAGAATAAAATGTATATAATGCTATTATTTCATTTAGGAGTATTTTACCTCTATTTAGGACTAATTAGCCGTACATTATTAGGCCTTCATTTTAGCTTTGGACCATGGAAGTTGTATTGGGCCCTCGATATGTGGCCCATTTCGATTATTTGATTCGGCCCTTAATAGAATCCAAAAGACACTAGTCAACAAATACAGTGACGGATTCGTTTAAAGTACGTGTGCGCCATTTTCTTAATCTCCTTCCGACTTTTGCTTAAGGAAATGGTTTGCGCCTCTTTTTCCGGGACTATTGTTCGATTCGTGAACTACAAGATATGAATTTGGGATTCGAAATGAAGAAATTTACAGAAGGTACAGACTGTTCTTATTGTTGTGATTGTGGTTTCCGGTGAGCTGGAGTTAGAATTGACATTTGACTTGCAAGAGTGGTTGAGAGAACTCAAGGAAGTAATACCTTTGCTGTTGTTGACTGTGCTCTTTTCTAGGGTTTTGATTGAGTTGTTGTGTTTTTGTAATAATGGTAGTGTATTCGAGTTGAATTTGAATTAAGTGCATGATATAAGCTTTTCGATTGTAGTTTTTTCTCATATGTTGATTTGCCGTACTCGCAGATTGAAATCCTTGCAAGTAATGTGAAACTGGGGCCTATGCTTAAACGTTTTTATCTTTAGATATCATTTGCAACTTTGATCGGCTGGGATTTCTATTAGATAATTCTTAAAAGTGTACTCTTTTTTGCTCAAGAAAAATTGTACTCTTTAGGAGTATATATTGATATCCCTAAATCCGAATATTTCCATGTGGAGCACACACATATTAGTGAAAATCTCATAGTTTAGTTCCCTCATGATTCATGATTTTAGCAGATGCAGAAAAGTAGCATTTGATTATGCCTCTTATGACAGGACCTTTGAGTATAGGTGTAGTAGCTCTTATGGATTTGGATATTCATCTGTTTGTGTATATGTGTGCAGAAGAATTGTTACAACACATTTGATTCATTGATTGGATGATTGGACATAAAGCTATGACTCTTCTCCGTTCTCAGTCAAGTATTGCCGTTTAGATTTTGTTTTGCTGTGAGCGAAGATGGCAAAGAAGGGCAAGGCAAGGCAATACACCGATAGAAGGAGGGTCAGATCTGATCATAAATATGATGATGAGCAATCAGATGAGGATTACTGTGTCAGTGAAAATGAGCTGTTTGATTGTTCAGAAGATGAATCATTTTCATTAGTTGCGGATACATCAGGAGTCAGTTTGGGTGACTGTGAAGATAGCGAAGAAGATGAGATTATGAATGTCAAGCAGAAAAAAGTTGTTAAAAAGAATGATGCCCCACCAAAAGCACAGAATAGACAGAAAAGCATTATAAAACAAAGAAAAAGGAAAAGAGTTATGTACAAAGAAGATGATGAGATCAGTGATGACAGCGATGATGATGGTGATTATGAGGAGGAAGATGAGGCAGAGGAGGAAGAGGAATTTATCCCAAATGAGATCAATGGTGTTGTAAAACGGAAAACGAGGGATCGGTTTATTTACAGAGATGATGATGATGACGTGGACTTTACCCCAGATGAGATTAATTCTACAGAAGAAGAAGAAGAAAACTTGCATATGATGAGGGGGAATAAGAAAATGGTAAAGCGGAAATTGACAAAGAATAATAGAAAAAGGGTGCAGGGGAAGACTATCTCGAAAGTCTCAAAGAAAACAAGGAAGAAAACCTCTAAAGTTTCTAAGCAGATCAATAGGAAGGGACCAAGAAAAACTTGCAGGAAAAATTATTCACAAGAGAAAAGGGAAAGAAGATTAATTATAGATTCTGATTCAGACTTTGTGAGTTGTGCATCATCAGACCATGAGTATATTATCTCTGAAGAAGAGAGTGAACAAATTAGAGAAGCTAATAAATTGTGTAGAGGTTTGAGGGATAGATCAAGGATTCCAGGTTGTTCAACTGATGCACGTTTGAGGGATAGATCAATGATTCCAGGTTGTTCAACTGATGCACCACAAGGAAAAACCAGTCAACATCAGGAGAAGCGATCACTAAGAAAGGGAAAGGAGAAGGTAGCAGTGGTTGAGGAGTTGAAGAAGAGTGATGGAGGAAAGCAGGTTTGTGGGATTTGTTTTTCTGAAGAAGAGAAAAAGACAATCAATGGCATGTTAAATTGCTGCAGCCACTACTTCTGTTTTGCTTGCATCATGGAGTGGTCAAAGGTTGAATCTCGTTGCCCCCTTTGCAAGCAAAGATTTGTAACCATCACCAAGGATGCAAAGTCACCATCACCAAGGACTGTGGTGATTCATGTTCCTGAACGTGATCAAGTCAGTTCAAATTTCTTTTTAATTATATTCTTTCTTGACAAGCTATTTACTTCCATATTAATATCCACTCTCATTGTTCTATTTACATATATGTATATAGGTTTATGTACCATCTGAAGAAGAGCTTAGGGGTTATCTTGATCCATATGAAAATGTAATTTGCACTGAATGTCAACAAGGCGGGGATGATGCACATATGCTACTCTGTGATATATGTGATTCACCTGCACATACTTATTGCGTCGGCCTTGGAAGTGATGTCCCTGAAGGTGATTGGTACTGTGAAGCCTGTAGACTAGCATCTCCTCGCTTCCAAAATCCAGAAAATTCAAATCCAACAGGTGAGGACTATTATGGTAGACTGCCTTCTATAGCCACCAGCAGGAGGGAGAGTTGTGAGCTGGACGAGATGTATGTACCTGAGACTCCATTAGCGCAACAAACATTCAACACTTCATCTCCTAGAGATAATCAGTCTGGTTCTTCTTCAGCTTCAAGATCTGTGGCTTCCACAGTTTCACGCAGGAGAAGAATACACCGTCAAATAAGCCGATTTATTAGTAATAACAGGATGAGATGGGCACAGAATAGAGATGTCACTACTGGGGGTTAAGAGTTCGTATGGTGGGGTTCTTGGAAGTTGGATTAGAGATGCATCATCGCCTTTTAACTTTTAATGCTTCAGATAATAAAAGTCTTGAAACTTAATGAGGAAAAGGGTGGGTGGGGATACAGATTAAACAATTGCAAGTGATACATTTTTTGTTGATAAACATGTCATTTTGCTGTGTTGAACCTTTGCTGAAGGACATAACTCACATAAGTAGTGGTACTGTGGTAGCTTGTTCAATTGTGTTTACAGAGAATGATTTAAAAATCTCCCACACTTCGGGATTTGGGAGTATATGTATGAATGTATCTAAATAAGTTAACATTACAGAAGAACGTTAAAGTAGAAAAATGTAATGTAATCCCTCTTGCAACTGTTGCAAGTGTTGGCATGGACACGGGGAACCATTCCAGGTCTAGGTCCTGGTGATGTATAAGGAAGAAGAGGAGCCTAAGCCTAGTATTTTGGTCCTCAAATTTGTTTCGGTTCACTTCTGGCCCTTTATGCTATTTAAAAGTTTTGAATTGGAATTAGTCCAGCCTGATCAAATCTTAAAGGAACTAGAACCAATTATCTAGTTTGGTACAAAATAGAAAACTGATAAAGTTTTCTGACTGGTCGATATGTATCCTTGAATGGACCAAGAAAACATAGTCTTTATGACTTTGTTGAATGATATTAACATATTTGCGATTTTTTTTCAAGAACCGATTTCAGAATTGTATCATGACAAAGAATTATCAAGTTTGAGCTTCTGTTTTTCCAATTATTTGCTTGGAACTTGAAATGGGAGTCCAATTTGCAGATAACCAACCCATTAGATTAAAAATGGCCTGATTGCTAACTTGCGAATTGCGATAGTGTCCGTAAGACCATTTATTGAACTCAGACTTTTAGTGTGGTTTGGTCATCCAAGTCACAACTCATCATTCTCTCATCTTGCTAGCATAATGGCCTTTTCAAGATTGACCTTAAAAATCGACTTCCTTTTAGATTGATTCAACAATGTGCTATGTTGTCATGTTAGCTGTTGTACGAGGGACAAACTTCAAAAGAAGACACATTTTATTTGTTTTATTATAAAATACGCTAAAAGCTCATGCATTACCTAGGTAAATGTGAACAAAGTTACTTTAGATCTCATCTACACCATGGGCAGTGCAAGTCTACCATTGAATCCGAACCCGATAAGGCAATAACAGAGTTTATTCTGTATTGTCAATGCATTTAACTTATATTGGAAAGAAATACACATACACAAGTGAGCACCCTAACCACTATTCTACAATACAGAGAGAGGAAAACATCATATGCGAGAGCGGTACATCTTATTCCGAGGTTGGTTGGATTTTCATACACCGGGAAATAAACCTGCTCAGTTGTCGAATAAGTTATCGGGAAGAATGGTGGACAACAGCAGTCCTTGAACAAACTGGCTCCTCTTTGTCCTCTCCTCTTTGTCCTTGATTGATAGAGGTGGTTGTTTTCTACAAAATAAGCAATTTGCAATATCACTTCAGATGGTGCCATTCAAGACCTTTTCACTTCTTGGACTTATTTCAGTACATGTCTACTAAATCAGCTCTAAAAAACTAGACTGGACCCGAATACATAATACACCACACCACAACTAGACTTGCATTGCATAACACAATACACATTACAGCATAGCTAGAACAGACCAGACAAGACTGTCCTTATTGAAACACGATCTTCGTGTTCCCATTATTTTAAAAATCTCAGATTTTGATACTACCTCCGTCTCATATTGGTTGTTCCGTTTTAATTTGGCACGATTATTAATAAAGTGGTTGAAAAGTAAAAGACATGGTTGAAATTTGAGTAGAATAAAGTGAAATGATAATGACTACATATTTCTTGCCAAAAAAGGAAACAGAGCATTCATTTTGGGACAACCCAAATGGCCAAAAAGGAAAGCATGACAACCAAATTGGGACAGAGGGAGTACTATTTATAGAACATTTTTTAAATATTATGTATTTCTGTACTATATAATATACATCACATAAACAAAACAGTTTTACAATACAAGTTCATTATTTTACAAATTTTAAAAAAATGAAAAAGAATTATGTGAACTGAAAACATAAAACAAGAAACTCTTATAAGAATTTCCCTTCACCTGTATTTAGGATATAAAGGCCAAAGGTACTAAGAAAATGGCTCACAGACATGTACATGCATCAAAAAGTAAAATTTCATGACACAAGTTGGCTAAAAAACATTAAAATCACTCCATACCGTTCCGGAACCTTCTCTGATGTGCTCTTCCTAGCAGAGATGGCTGCAGCAGAAGAGTGTAACTGACCATTCCCAAAGTCATCCGCCATTGGCAGAATAAATGATGTCAATGGGTCAGGTGCTGCAGCACTACTTGGAGGAGCTATAAAGGAAGAAGACCCTCCCCCTCCTCCCGCTATCAGAGACTGGAAATTTCCTTCTCGCAGTTTCTTCCTTAATAGTGAAAGTGTTGATTGAGAACTGCTTTTACGCGATTTTCTCTTCTGCTGCACGTAGAGACCTCAAAGTCAAGGAGCTCACAACAAAATCACAGCATTACAATTTACTCCTATGGGACATTGACATTGTTTAACTCTGTAACTTACAATTTCCGCCTTTTAAAAGAAGAAGAGTAATATGGGCCCACTAAAAAGTCAGAAGGTGAGACACTACAATTAGTTCCAAAATCTACAGATAAGCATACAATAAAAGGGGAAATGAAAGGAGCTTAAAAGACGTAGGACCAAACCAAACTTATCTAGAATGTCGGACTCAATGTTTGAGTTTGAACTTTGAAGAGGAACAAATGTATGCTGACTTTACCTTCACCCCTAGGAGTAGAAAGGTTGTTCCCCTGAAGACCCCATGCTGTTGTAAATGTGAGCGTTTTAGGGAAATGCCAAGTTTTTGAAAAAACTTGAGCATTTTTAAGAAGGTTTTTGTACAGTTTTATAAGTTAAAAAGAAAATCGCCTAAAGGTGAAAGGTAGTGTGAACAGGGTGGTAAATAATATTTAAACAATAATGAGAAATTTACAATAATATAGCTAAAACAGCTTCAAAAGCAAGTAATTGAGCAGATAAGAAAGTAAGTGAAATACTAGCTAACACCCACACAACGTAGCTTAAATATAGGGGCACATTTTTATTAAAAACATGTGTAAAAATATACTCTGTACTCCAAATTTGAGACAAGTAATTACGCAAATTAAATACACCAGTTAACCCTCCAGACTAAAATGTCTCAGTGTCTCACAACGTGATCTTCAAATTGCAGCAATGTGAAGGTAATTAGTGAGTAGCTTTCCACCACACCCATTTTATTTTTATAATAATGACTATAGAAACGAGGACCAAAAGGAAATGGAAAATTGCTAGACAAAAAGAGAAATTAAAGGATTATTTTATCATGGCAGGCTAGAAAAAGGATATCTTGAAGATGTTCCCGTGCTGCAATACAACGTGGGCAACCATGTCAACCCCCACCCTTGTTGCACAAACTGGACATACCTGAAAAAGATGAAAATTTATCATGAAACTCTGACAGAAAACCTACACCTCTGGAACTCTGGATGAAATACTATAAAGAAGATAAATCCTGGATGAAACAAAGAAAGAAAAATCGGAAAGAAGACATATCAATTTCCTTCTTAGTTAACAAAGACAAACCAGTTTTAAAAAACACAAAAAATAAGGCTTTTGCTTCATGAAGTGTAATCATTCTAGTTAACATAAGCCATTAATAACACAAGAGCTTCATAAATTAGATTAGCAATTAAACTTACAGTGTGAAAGGCATCCTAAAATGTCAATAGACACACAACAAAGAAACAAAAAAGTTTCAGGCTTTGCACATACCCTTACCATTTTGAGCAAGCAGTATGCAATGATGTAACCCCCACCCCTCCCTCAATGAGATGATTGCCCATAGCAGTGTTTATTGTATATAAAAAGAGAGAAAATGGTTGAAAAAATACACATTCAATTTAAACAATTACCATACGCATATCCTGTAGATCAGCAGATAATTAAAAAACAGAACTTTTCACAACAACCAGAGTCAGCAGTTTGTTACTCTTATCCCATTTTTCTGAAGCTAAAAAGAAAAACAAAGATCTACTTCATTATTCATCAAGAAAAACAAATACCCCGTTCTTGGCTTCAACAGGGTGCTCATCATCAACATGGCAGCACAATCCAACAACGTCGTAGTATTCAGAACAGAAGGGGCATGGAAACTCCTCTCTGACATCATCTTCCACTATGTCGGTTTCCTCGAATCCTATCAACATTTCCGAATCGATTCCATCCCATCTCATCCCTAGCACAACACACATAAACAAATGGATTCCAAATAAATAAAAAAAATCCCAGAAAAATAAAATAAAATAAACCCAGAAAGCATTATATCCCTCCACCCAAAAACAAAAGGGATAAAAGGTCAAAGCTTTCGTTCATTGAATTTCCAGGAAGGCGCATGTGAAAAACGAGGAGCTCCAGGTGAAAAGACCAGATATTGCACAAAAACCCAAAGAAAGGAGCAGGAAAACATACCAGATCGAGACTGGGAAGCAGATTGATAGCGCCTGGAAGTAGAGGAAAGACGAGCGGCCCAAGAATCAGCATCCATGGTTACTGATAAGTCTTGATAAATTATCGAGGAAAAATTGCAGAAGCCAATCGAATCAGTGAACCAGAGAAGACGACGATGCAAGAGAGAGAGGCCCGTGAAATGAAAATCCCACCTAAGAAGGACGGGTGCTGTCTTCCACACAGCTTTTATTATTCTCTGTATGTAGTAATGAAGTATAGTAAAAAAAAAGGCAGTGCTTTATGTGTGATACGCTATTTCCCACTCGTTAAGATACATTTTCCCATCTCGATTTTGATATTGATATCTAATTTTATCTAGTTTAATTTAAAGTGGTCTTATCTATTTGGTTTGATGTGGTAAAAAAAATCTATTTGGTTTGATGTAATAATGGGGTATTACGAAATGCCGTAATAAATACTCCCTTAATCCTTTAAAAAATTCATTCTTCTTTTTAAATAATGATTGATTGTAGTTGTTTATTATTTTTCTCTCTTCTGCATAAATCTTAAATCTACTTTATTAATCTTAATTAATTTCTCATTCTTCCAAAGAAGATCACGTGTCATTCAAACATGTTAAAGTTATAAGGGACATAGAAAATATAACATTCGTCTCATCGTCATGTCCCATATTAGTCTTCCAAATAGCTTTTAATTTGCATGTGGATTAAGAAAGTGAAAATTATGTGATGCAGAGTTGTGCAAATGAGAGTGAACTGATATGAACCATGAATTCCCTGCCATAAAATCAAAATGAAGATTATTTTAGAAAAAATGAAAAAAAAAAGTTGAAAGATTAATATTGGGACATATTTTATACTTATTACTTCCCCTTAATTATGTAGACTTTTTTTACTCAATTTAAAAGTGAATT